TATATATTGTTTATTTTATATCTAATATTTAATTTTATATATTATTCATTTATTTATATATATATGTATATATACATATATATATATATATATATGTGTGTGTGTGTGTGTGTGTGTATGTGTGTGTATGGTGTACAACATATATACACTTCTATTTATGTGTATTCATATGTGCATTTCTATCGCTAATGAAAAACTGTTGTTAAGAACATTGCAAACTACTATTTATCTTCCCTAGAGAGGGGTCCGCAAATACAAATAAAAACGTGCAGTATTTCTAAAGTACAAACCCGTCCATTAAACTTACTTGCACCTTTCGATTAAAAGTCGAAAGTTGGCCGTTGAGGCCTTATAACTTGAACTTGGATCCGCGATACCCTTCGTTTCCTCCGTCTTCGACACCTTCACCTTACTCGACACACTCGACTTTCCAGAAGCTTTCTCAACGTTCTTTTGAATTGTAGACTTTCCTTTCTTGGTAACCTTGCTTTGCTTAACGGCAGGCTTTGCTTTTGGCATTGCCACGGCTTTGGCGGATGCCTCAGAAGGCGCACCTCTAGTACGGAGACGCATATCAATATTAATAAATACAATGACATATACTGATTAGAATGCTTGTTTCAGTGGCGGGTTGAACTATTTTGTTATAAACTCAAATCCCTGTCCACGTGATACGTGCGAGCTAAAAAAATACACATAAATCTGATGTCTATACAAATTTTTTTTCTCGAAATTGCTATTTCAAATAAATGCATCTAAAAATGGGATATATTATTATGCAGAGTTGCAGACCCGTCTTATAATATAAACATGTAAATACACATATTTTTATAAATACGTTATACGTGTGGTCTTCAATAGTGGCTTGTAAGAAGCTTCTGCGCTGCTTCATTTTCAATAGAATAAGAAGGTTGTGGTTCGCAGAAGGCTATGCTTCGCAACAGGAATCATATCACACATCACAACAGATACAGATTGTATAATATGCTATTCTGCTATACATTTACAAAGTACTATTTAGACTTCACTGAAGTTATGCTATTTTCATCGGAAACACCCAGCAGTGCCAGTGAAGGACTGTGTTGTGCAATTATCTAAACACACGTACACATCAATTGCGGCAAAGTACTGCCAGCTTTTCCACAAGAGCACAAGATGGAGGAATATAATGATTACAAAGCTTACAATGAAAAAATACACACATATCCCCAATCGCAACCGTCGCTGCCAGCAAACCACTTATTTGATCTACTATACCAATCTATCTCAGCGCCCACTAAGAACCAGGGAAATGGCTCGGATACGTTCACTTCAACCCCTATAAACGGTGGTGATCACTCACTAGGCTCATCGAATACGAGTAGTCTGGCGTCACCCCCGCTTGCGTGGCTGACATCAGACGAAGAGGAATTGGGACAGAACATAGGTGTGAATATATATATATATATATATATATATGTATGTATGTATATGTGTATATATATATATATGTATATATATATATATAAATATATATACTAACTATCTATCTATCTATATATATATATATATGTCTATGTACATGTATATTTATATGCAAGTATATTTGTATATAATATATCCAAAATGTATATATATACATATATATGTATATATAGATATATATATATATATATGTATATATGTATATGTCTGTGTGTATGTATATGCATATATATATATATATGTGTGTGTGTATCTTTGTCCGTGTCTATATCTATGTCTCTGTTTGTGTCTGTGTATTTGTGTCTGTGTATCTGTGTGCGAGTGTGTGTGGTTTGTGTTTGTGCTTGAGTGGATGCTTTACTTCTTCAATTTTACGTATGTATGTCCGATAGAAGAACGTTGGATTTTTTCGATAGGTTTCAATGACTGCATGTAACTGAATAGTATTCTCTAATTATATTGTGAGGTGTTTTAACTTTTATCTGTCTGGGCATATTAATTTCATTGAAGGTGCAGTTTCACTCGTTGAACTCTTTTGATGTAGAAACGAACTGTATTTGTCCCTAACTGTGATGGTCTCAGTTACTTCCCTAATGTGTCTATATTGTCTCCTGATTGATCTACGTCAACCCTCCTTTCAGATGTATCCCTGGTTGATGAATTGCTACAAGAAACCCTGGGATTGGGCGCAACTCAACTGAGTGTTGGTATTGACGCCAATGGCATATCGCGGGTGTGGTATCCCGGCAATAGAGCCTTACCCGTGGCTCCCGATACTTCACATTTTACCCCAGACATCACTCACAACGCTAAGGTATCCCGCCTAGTTCGGCTGAATTGATGGTCGTGATTGCACCTGCAATCTCAACTGTATCGACTGGACTATCCATCTTCGTACAGGACTCGTGTCTCTCATACTGCTCAACTACTATCGCGTATTATGTTCGATATTATGAAGCTTTATCGCTAAATGTGAGTCGTGTACAGTGTTGTTTCTGACAACATTTCACTGCACTTTGTACAACAGGAGCAAGCATCGCATTCAGATACGTCTGTGACGGACGCGTACGAAAACTCTACTAGCCCACCGGAAGTTATCACAGACGACGGCACCCCGTGTGTTCCGGTTGTGCATTCGAAAGGTATGATTAAACTTGAAGGGATAGGATTCATAAGTTTTCATGTATCTGATTGATCTGTATGTACTGCACAAACTGTTAAGGTAGAGGATAGTCTTTAAAGCGTTTATCAGAAGTACTCGGCGGACTGTTGTTGAAACTCCGCCAAATATACTAAAGAGTTCGATTTTCAATTTGAAACTGTATTGGTGCCATTGATTTGACTCCTGTTAACCCCCAACGTTTAGTTGTTCATTTCTTATGCATGACGCCGATTTTACACCCAAGCTAGTCGTATGGGCTGGATATATGCCTTGTGGGCACTTTCAACCCCCTGAATCTTGTTTCTAATCACGAGCCTGTACTCTCCTTTACTTCGTGTTCGCAAGTAGATGAACGCTACAGTAATAGCCCTGAGCCGAACAGCGAGAACTCTCACAACCCGTTCCAGGGAAACGACGCTCTAAATGTGGCAAGGAAAACAAGTGAGGAGACTACACACCGAAGCGACACCAACGGCGATGGCTCAAGCAATTCAAGGAAGAGTAGCAAGGCGAGCTATTCGAAGAGGAAGCAGGCAACCGAGAGGAAGCGCATACAATCCATCTCAGAGGCATTCGATGTGCTCAAGAGCGTTGTTCCCTCGTGCGCTGGTGCGAAAGCGGCCCGTGTCACCATACTGCAAAGAGTATGTGTCCGTAGAATGAGTGTATGAGTATCACTACACGAGTGCACAGATCAGACTGTCACTGCAGGCAATGGGTTGTATAGTCTATATGCGAAGCATCACTCTTTTTTTCCCTTCTGTGACATCCGAAAAACGCTGGTCGAATATAGTTCAGATGCGCAAATTATCACTGTCACGACATGGTGTACTGCAGTATCGTTTGCTTTGGCTGCAATTCACCTGCAATATTACTTTATAATCCATTACAGACGGCACAACACATTATTGCACAGAATCAAGTCATCGAGCGCTTGAAAGCAAAGTTGGAACTACTTGCCTCTGACAAAGACCGTACTTCGGTATGCGGATATGTGTATAAATGAGCTGAATGCCTACGCCTGTGTTTGTATTTATGCACACGATTAGATTTGGGGGTACCTCCGTGTAAAAATCGCGTATGTGTGTTTGTTTGTTATCAATTGGACATGCACCATTGTTTACTTCTCAGCTGCTTGATACCAATAAATTCGTCGCCTGCGCACGGTATACGCTTTGTATGTATGCGAATATACTTAGTGGTAGGTGAGATTCGGTCGGCGACGGAGTGCCTGGTGATAGTAAAAAAATCAGCATCATACCGTCCAATTTTCTATTTTAATAACAGCGTGCTAGGGCAACTTGTGCTTTGTTTCGCGATATTGTCTAATACATACCCTGTTCTACCGTTGTCCAGGTTATCATGGCGACGGGTGCAGATGCAAACCACATGCAACTATTACCAGGCGTCAGTAGAATGGGCTCAATGCCAGCAATGGGTTATACCGCGCAGATGGCCGACGCGAGCAACCACTCAATCATCCAGCCACCACACTCACTCACGCACGCTGCTGCCCGTGCGCTAAGACAGTCGCAGGTCCAAGGACTTCCCCAGGCCCAGATGTACCCAGGCGGCACTTGTGTGGCAGCTACCAAGGCAATGTATGCACAGCCACCGGTTCTTGGTAGTGCTATGTGTTTGAACAGTTTCTCCGTGGCGCCAGAAACTCAGGATTTGGCGCAGACAAATTGTATGTGCATGGTGTGTGTCGGTGCGGGTCTATCGGTATATGATCAGGTATATGCGCAGACAGCCGGGCCACCACCACACGCCCAAAGGATTCATACTCTGGATAGCCAGGCACATATGCATAAGCCAGAACGGACACAGGCGCAGATACAGACGAAATCACTTCCAAACATGCGAGTACAGATGCCGACAGCAGCACAAGTACAAGCCCAGATACAAACACAGTCACTACATGTACCCCAAGCGCAGTCGCAGACTTTGACGCAAAGAGAGTCACAAAAACTATCGGAACAGAAAACGGCAAAAGTTGTGTTAACAGAGCATGGCAGTTCCGACTGCTCGACTGCATACTCTGCAACACAGCGGTGTAATACTGCACCGACAAATATAACCGAATTCGCGTTCGCCGATACCGATGTAGACTCGCTCATAAATGCTGGTAATGGTATTGTGGACATGGACACGGGCGTTTGTACAAACAAGCTCACAACACCTGTCAATGCACTACCAGATACCACACGCGACTCTCAAATACAGCTGATGGGAAGCTCTGTAGGTCAGAAATCTCAAGGTCGACCGCAGGGCGTGGGAAGTTGTACGATCACAAAGAGTGGTGACTCGAGCAATTGGGGGACTACAGATGAGGGGTTCGGAACGACTACAAGTGCGGGAGGGAAGCGCAAAAGGCAAGCTGCAGGTGGTGCGGTAGCAGGCATTGAGGAGATGGAAGCCATTCTGGAAGAGTGTGTGAAATCTGCTCGGGTAGAAGGAAAGGACGGGCACGTGAGTGTATCTGCGGACGGTTTATTGAGTGGAGTTAAAGGGGAGGGGTATACACAGACACTCAGGGACATACAGACCCGCGCACATGCGCATGCACAATCGCAAGCGCGTGCCCAGGTACCAACACCTATACCCCCACAAGCAGTTGATCATACGAAGGCTCAGGCTCAGATGCAGACACGGATAAGTGAACATGCAGACACAACGCAACCGACACCACCACAAGACCTGCAGCTACAGCGAGCATCGACACCAACACAGGAGGCGCATACAATTCAACAGCAGCAACCAGTACACCCGCACGCCGTATCACCGCCTATCAACGATGCACTGTCAGAATTACAGACCGTCGAGAAGCCCTCGACATCGTATGGAGGTGGGAACACGCGCACCCTGATGAGTGTGTGTTTGTTCCTCCTCATGTCACCTACGAGCAGGTGGGTCATGGATAGCATGCAGCAGAGCAGTGACATCAACCCCACGGGACGAGTACTTCATTCTTTGGGCGTCAACGAGTATGTTCTGGTCTTAACTTTGATTTCCCTAGGTGTTGTGTATGTGATTGCATATGAAGCGAGAGCATGAGTACTGTCGATTTCAGAAAGAGGTCAAAATCTACGTGCATTAGTTCGCTTGTTGACCGATAGCTCATAATATTATGTTTGATTGGAGTATCGATTACATTCTGGATACTGTGTTTTTCTGCGGCAGTATATATATGTGTGTGTGTTAGTGTAGTGTGTGTGTGTGTGTGCATCAGTGCACGATATTTTGTACAGGTTCGTTTCACTCATTGCCTCCTCTATCAGACATATCTCAAACTCACTTTATTGCATGGTTCGCCATTTTTTTGCAGAACCCGCTACAGCGGCTACATGACCAACATGTTTATTCTGATACTATCGCGTGCCATGCCACACGTGCTGCTCTGCGTCCGGTCACTAGCTGCGTTGCTGTTTGCGCGTGTAGTTTTATTAATTGCCGAACCAAGCGGATTCATCAGCAAAGATCTTCTCAAGGAAGTCCAGGAAATCCGACAGAAGGTGGACTCTGCATTTCAGGTTAGTGCTGGATCTAAGCTGACCTGTACAATCTGTGCTCTAAATTTGTTCAAAATGTAAATTGTAACGAAGTTGTGAGGGTTCCAAGGCATATGCACAATGAGTTCGTTGGCTGCTTATATCCAAGTTTAGCTGTATGCCCTGCTGAGTGTCAATTGCGTATGAATACTGGTGCAAGAAACAACGCGTACCTGGCACCAAGAAAGTGGACCTTTCTTTAACCTAATATGGACTTATCGCCTTGTTGGTCAGCGCCATGTGATCTCGCTTATATAGTCGCATGTGGGTGTGTTTGGTTTCGCTTGTATAGTCGCATGTGGGTGTGTTTGGTTTCGCTTGTATAGTCGCATGTGGGTGTGTTTGGTTTCGCTTGTATAGTCGCATGTGGGTGTGTTTGGTTTCGCTTATATAGTCGCATTTGGGTGTGTTTGGTTTCGCTTGTATAGTCGCATTTGGGTGTGCTTGATTTAACTTATATAGTCGCATTTGGGTGTGTTTGGTTTTGCTTGTATAGTCGCATTTGGGTGTGTTTGGTTTGGTATATGCGAAAGTGGTCTTTAGCCACTGTAGTGAGAATTCTCTAGCCACACAATGTGCTGATCACGAGTGTAGCAGTGCAGTATGGATGAGGCGACACTGGCCACACACTTCTCGGGGGGTAGCAACTCTATATCTTGGTCGAAAGGGCCATGAAGATTCAAACCGAATATACATTCGCAGACTAACGTACTGTGAGTAGTTTGTTTTGGCCCATGAACCCGCCCTCGAGTTTTTATATTGATAGATACCATGAGGCGAATATTGCCATAGTAAACGTGCTAGAAGGATATCATGGACTGTTTTTCTTTTAGAGCACAGACACGCATACAGACCTTTAATAGTTTTTTTCACTGCAGAGTATCATGCTCTCTAATTTAATTTGGGATTGCTTATATCTCAATTCTGGCAAATAGCGTACACACCCCTGGATATCATTTTCGTACAAATTACCTTAATAGAACGGAAGTATAGCTGAGGCAGAAGAGATGGCAATACAGGGGCTGGCTCTGTGTGGCCACCACCCCCTCCAACTGACTGGTATCAAGCTGCTCGCCCACTGGTTGACACAATGTAAGTGTGTGTGTCGTATGCTTATCCAGGATTCTGTACTTTGTAGTTATTCTCTGTACCATCCACCAATGGTTTTCGGTTGAGGTACTCGTACCACGTGACGATCCATCTGTTTGAAGTGTGGATATATCACGTTTGTAGCTGTGCCCCATATGTCTCCTTAGACTTTGTCCCGGTGCCTTGACCACGCTCTCCTGTAGTAGACCATAGCCACGACAGGCAATGCCAAGCATTCCACTACCCCTTCCGTACCATCCAAGACCCATTGGATCAGAATGAAGCAGCTGTCTGTCGAACCCACCGCCTATTATTCCATACTCCACCCATGTTAATCTACGTATGACACAAGCGGTACACTGTTGTAGTGTTGACCTCACAGAACACCCACACCCCAAAAGCTTAAGCAAACTGCTTGCGTCTGTGTAGGTGGTCATCATCAGCTGCGCAACTGGCGGATAGGTGCTCTGGTGGACACTGTCGTACTGGCCCCTCGCGATATATCGCCTCTGCGTGAGATCGCCCATCTGTACTTCCAGCTGTACCTGATCAAGGCAAGTGTATAGATTGATTGTTCGTCTATGACAGTTGTATGTGATCAAGGCAAGTGTATAGACTGTTTATTCGTCTATGCCAGTTGTATCTGATCAAGGCAAGTGTAGAGTTGATTGTTCGTCTAAGCCAGTTGTATCTGATCAAGGCAAGTGTATAGATTGATTGTTCTCTATGCCAGTTGTATCTGACCAAAGCAAGTGTATCGATTGATTGTTCGTCTATGCCAGTTGTATCTGATCAAGGCAAGTGTATAGATTGATTGTTCGTCTATGCCAGGTGTATTTGATCAAGGCAAGTGTAGAGATTGATTGTTCGTCGAAGCCAGTTTTTCTGATCAAGATAGGTCTACAGGCTTGATTGTTTGTCGAAACGTCTCTAAATGGAGTATACACGTATATATGTTATTGATGTATTACCTGACCCTCTTTTCTCGAAACCCAGCTCGTGGGTGTTTGTGTTTGAACATCGATACGCTCGTAACAACGCCTACTACAAGGTCATTTTCCCCTAATTGTTCAACGCCCTCGAATCTCTATGCCTCAACTATTAAATGTTGTTTAACGCATTAGCTAACGCGTAGTATCCCTCATCCACACCAATTCAAGTGTAGGAACCTGCACCCATTCACACTGCACAGGTTTTTACTTGTAGTGTGTTTACTTATAGTGTGTACCTGCCTGTCTCTGTGCGTGCACTGCACAGGAGTTTACTTGTAGTGTGTACCTGCCTGTCTCTGTGCGTGCACTGCACAGGTGTTTACTTGTAGTGTGTTTACTTATAGTGTGTTTACTTATAGTGTGTTTACTTATAGTGTGTTTACTTATAGTGTGTTTACTTATAGTTTGTTTACTTTTAGTGCGTTTACTTATAGTGCGTTTACTTATAGTGCGTTTACTTTTAGTGTGTACCTGCCTGTCTCTGTGCGTGCACTGCACAGGTGTTTACTTGTAGTGTGTTTACTTTTAGTTTGTTTACTTATAGTGTGTTCCTGCCTGTCGCTGTGCGTACACTGCCCAGGTGTTTACTTGTAGTGTGTACCTGCCTGTCTCTGTGCGTGCACTGCACAGGTGTTTACTTATAGTGTGTTTACTTATAGTGTGTTCCTGCCTATCTCTGTGCGTACACTGCACAGGTGTTTACTTGTAGTGTGTTTACTTAGTGTGTTTACTTATAGTGTGTTCCTGCCTGTCTCTGTGCATGCATTGCACAGGTGTTCTACCGTGGACAGGATGATCTGCAAGCCATCCATCTGCAAACCTCGGCGCTCAACTACGCAGAAGTGTGCGACGCACGCTATCCAGCCGACACGCTGCTAACACAGATATATGTGTCAGAGACTTTCGCCATGGAGAGACTGTTCCCTCAGGTGTGTACTACCTCTGCTTGTCGCGATATCGTTCGTGCTGCCTTGCTTAGGTGCGTGTGAGCGATTTAAGGTGTTAAAAGTTTGGATGTACAAATTGTGGTGGATGTGTATTGTGATTCGTGGTGTTAACGTTTGTGTGTACACGGTGATTCATTGCTCATGCAGAGTTACCTGTATATAGTACTTAGTGCGTAGTATATATAGTATATGTGTACTGAAATCTGATGTGTGCGAGTAGTCTTGGGGGTATTATGTAGAGCTGTGTGTGGTCGTGACGAGTTACTCGCTCAGGCATGTGATATAAATGACACAGTTTAAACTATAGAGAAGTGGATTGGATTCGGCACAACCGCTATGTATTTCATTCTGATCTATTTTCAGTCGAGTACATCTCACCGCTAGCCCATATCTTTCGCGAGGCGCTTACAACCGCCTTCCTCGGTAGTGCTCATTTTATTTCCTTCTTCCACTACTAATTGGAACGGTTGTACTAATACTTTGTATGTCCTCTTGCGTCTTGGTCTTCAGTTCCACTACATCTCGCGCTTCTACCAACACCGAGCGCTGTCGCGTGTGCTAAAGTACGGCCAGAACCATATGAAAAAGGTCGAGGAGATCAAGTTATTCCAGGAAGAGCGCAGCTCCGCGTGCCGCTTCCAGGTCTTCCCTGGGCTGTTGATTATCAGTCTATTGCTTGTAGGAGCCAGCGTTATCCAATTCACTACGTATGCCTTCGAGATTGATGGGCAGGCTGATCACCCTCTGTTCCAGTACCTGATGATAATACCTACCATTCTCCTGCTACCGCTAGCTGTTCTGACCTGTTTCCCACCATAATATAATATCGGAATGGAGATTACCATACATGCAATCACACATCTACTAAGATGTTCACCAATCCTCTTAAGCACGCACGAGCATACACAAGATCACGTTTTTTAGCTCCATGTGTATTGCTAAGAAGTAACACTCTCGAAAAGCTAGATAATATAGCATTAGGCCGCTCTCTCTCCCGGCCAACACAGACATATACATATAGTTCAAACGCATGTGTCTTGGTATTGCTGGCTTCAATCCCAGACTGGCATATTACGCTGGAAATAGAATCCGCTGGAAATCGCGCCCAATTTCGAAACAGAAAGATATTCGAGGAAATACAGAGCCCAGTGCGGCATCGTTGATAAAATATGAATTTGCTATAAATGTGTCGGAAAGCCAATATAAATTTGCGCCACAATCGCCCAGTCACAGTGAACTAGCTTACCATCCAGACGTATGCACTAAACTTCACATCAACAAAAGTACGGGCACCGGTTTAAAAAGTAACCAATAGCGGCATGGTGTTTATCTAGTCAATTGGAACGCACATACGCTTCACATTGTTCAACTGGGGAGCGTACTGCACATCTATGTCGAAGTGAAACTCGATCCCAAGCAACAGGTATATTATATTTCTAGTATCCACTACAAAAATAGCAATGCAACCGTGGTAGCCTATCCGTAGGTGAGAGTATATCATTCAATTGAAAGTTGTCTGTCTGAACGAGCTGAAAGTATACACAAACATTCAGATAGGACTGATTTGCGCTCCCAAGTTGAAATCGAGGGGCGCAAAATACAGATCCAAATCTTAAATATTTCAAAAGGCATTTTTTTATCGCTTTGTACATTTGTGCATAGCCTTTTGAAATACGAACCTATGTGAGGGATTAAACTGGTATCTGTGTCCTCAATCCTGCGCACACAATCCGTATACCGTAGCTCAGTACGATATCTCACTCCTCAAGGTGTGAATTTAACAGAGTGTGAAAATTCGAGGAGTCTGAACAAGAGCAGTATAGCCGCGTTCTGGTCATGGTTCAAGGTACAGTCCGTGTCCCGATAAGTGGATATGAAGGGTGCTTTAGTACGAAGAGAAAGGGTAATCTGTACAAGGCCAGAAGGCGACAGGATACTTCAATCAATGAAGGTGCTAGCCAGACCCCAAATTCTGGTCCAGGAGGTGTGTATACGATTATGCAGCCATAGTGTACATTCACTTCCCTACTCTATGCGCACAATAAAATCCCACAACATCTTACTTGCATATACGATTAACCTGCCAGGTTCCCAATACTTCAAAATCCATATACAAATGGAAGGTGGAAACATACATACTAACCATGTAATTATAACTGTGTTTACTTTATACGACTGATCCCACGAACATACACTTCAATCGATCGGATACATGTACGCGTGTTAGAATTTCATAGACACTGCAAAGTGATTCTACATGTAATTGTACAGAAAAAGATTGACAAACCTGAAATGAATATTCATATATATATATGTATATATATATATATCGATATCTATATCTATATTTC